ACCCAGACCTGACACAGCCACTTACAGACTCTGCCCTGCTCCCCAGCCCCCACCTGGGGCTCCCACCCCTGACCGGGTGTCCCCCCACAAAATGAGTCTTTCCCAAGGGAGAAACTCTGTTGTCCAAAAAATAACATTTTCTTCATCTCGCTACATTAAAAAAACAAGACGGCGATACCATTGCAAAGTCATCAGAACGGCTAAAACAAAAAGACTGCGATAGCAAATGCTAACAAGGATGGGGGCTGATGGTCCCGACACCGTGCTGGGTGTGTCACACAAGAGAGCTGCGTTCCCACGTCGCCCGTCTGCCAGGAGACCAGCGCGGAGACATTCAGAGCAGCCCCACAGCCCGGGAGGAGCCCACGGCACTTGCAGCTCAGGCGCCCACTGTGCTGCCTCCCGGGGACACCCATCGGGGGCGCTAACAGCACAGAGGGGTCTGCCCAATGTGCCTGGGCGGCGACCAGCATCAGGACAACAGGTCCCCTGGGGCCGTGGCAGCGGGGGCTCTGTCTCCTGGCTGGGCTGCCAATTGCATGGGCACACATGCTTTGTGAACATCCCACTGCAGTGCAATTTGCCACCTCCAGTGACACGCCCGGTGCGTGGGGGCTGCGCACTTTCGTGTACCTGCTGTGTGCCGGCTCCATCCCAGGGACAGGGCAGCCCCTGCTCCTCCAGCTTGCACTCAGGGAGTCAGGGTCCAACCACACGTGTAAGGGACCAGACTCAGTCCTGAGTGTCATGGGGAGCCTTCAGAGGCAGTCACATGATCTGATGTCACCCCTTATGAAGCTTCATGAGGACCAGGCATGGGGGACAGGGCTGGTGGTGTCACCCAGGCTTGAACAAGGCAGGGGGCAGTGGTGGGGGGAAGGGGACAATTCCAGACACGTCTGGAGGCAGAGCACATGGGGACTTGCCAAGAAGCCAGATGCAAAGGCCACGGACACTTCCCAGGCCTTCGGCCTGAGCAGGGTGTACAGGAAGCAGAAAGGCTACCATGGCTGCGTGACAGTCCCCAGGAAGGGAGGCTGGGGAGCAAAGGGTCCCCCAAGCACCTCCAATGCTCAGGCTGCCCTGGGCTCCATGTCTAGTGCCCCCGTGTCCCGCAGGCTGACCTCAGGCAAGCGTCTTCCATCTGTGAGATTTGGCTGATTCGTCTGAAAATGGAAAACTCTCCACTCAGCGGGTACGACCTGAGACACAGCATACATGCAGGGGCTTCTAACAGCAGCTTCATGAGTCAGGGGACGGTGCAGGGGACAGGGGGAGGGGCAGAGGGCTGGAGAAGCAGAGCTGAAGACCCCAGGCTGCCTGGGCGGTCCTCCATTTCCCCCCATCCGAACCCCTCGCTCCCTTTGGGACTGGCCCCACTCAGGGGCAGACAGTTCATCTGACCCGTGGGGTACGCCTGCCTGGACAACTCCCTTCCAGCCCCATTGGGGACCAGTCATCTGGTGTGAGGCTGGGCCCAGCCTTGGCTGACAGAGCCATCCTGTCCCCAGGCCAGTCGGCCGCTCTGGGGGATAAACAGGAAGCCCCATCTCTCCCCTGCCCCGTGCTTTGGTCTCTCCTTCCTGCAGGCCGGCTCACACGCTGCGCCCGGTGCCCCTCAGCCTTGCGCAGCCTGAGATGCCCACGCTGGCCTCTGCTGGGGGCTTGGTCCGCCCTCTCCTGGGGCTGCAGAGGCCAAAAGCGCAGTGGTGAGCGGTCCCAGGAGGGCCCAGGAGGGTCCCAGGAGGGTCCCAGGAGACCCCGGCCGCCCCCTGCCTCTGCTCACTGCCTGACCAGCACACTCTGGGAAGGAAAGGCTGCCGCGGCCCCAGCACAGCCAGCTCCAGAACGTGAACAGGTAGGCTGGACGGCAGCTGTGACGGCCTTGCCCTGCTGACCAGGGGCAGAGCGGGCAACTGAGGCCCAGCGTGGGCACAAAGCTGGGACCAGAACTCCACCATCCCCAAGCAGAGCGAGGCTCCTAGCTCCAGGTCTCTCGGTGGCCCAGACGAGGACGGGCCACACGGCTGGGAGGCCACTGACCAGTCCCACCAGGTCTCCACCTCTGTGCTGGGCCTGGAGGTGAGGGCAGGAGGCCAGATGTGGGGGCCTGGGGAGGAGGCAGGAGGCACCACCAGCTTCTTCCAGAAGTGACTCCGTGCAGGGCCGTGTGTGTTCGACGGTCCTAAACAGACTCCATCAGAGGGGAGGAGCGGCTCCCCCCCGGGAGGGGTGCACCTTCACGGGGGGGACCCCGCCTGCCCACTGTGGTGTCCCCCCCACCCCTGGCCTTGAGCATGGAGCAAGCTCCACCCACTGAAGAACCCTGCGGAGGGACCAGGGGACAGCAAGCGCCCCCACCCCTCTCTACACCCCCAGAATCCTCCTGGAGTCCAAGGGGGAGTCAGGCAGCACCCACCTCTGCCCTCTGCCAACCCCTCACCCCTCCTGTCCCTGAAGTGCCTTGGGTGTCAAGACCAGACCCCAGCCCAGCTCCTGCACGAGGTGTGATTCCAGGTGGCCACCGGGCAAGGCTGGCACTCTGCAGCCCTGAGCCCAGGCCCCCGTTCCTCAGGTAGCTCCTCGTCTTGACTAGGGAGGGGCTGGGGGCGGGCACAGCTTGTCGGGAGGGGAGCAGCAAGCAACACAAGTCAGCAGCCCAGTGCCAGGAAGACAGACACAGAGGACCCAGGACCCTGAGCGCCCCTCACACTGCAGGGCCACCATGGAACCCACCAGACTTCCCAATATGCCAAGTGTGAAAGGGTCATTAACACTTTCGTGTATTTTTTTTTTTTTTAAAGATGACCTGGGGGACGTTAATCCTCGACTCGGTGTTGTCAGCACCACGCTCTCCCAAGGGAGCCACGGGCCGACCCCAACCCTTTCGTGTATTTGGCTGATTGGCTACTCCCAGCCCTCAGCCATCCCCTGGCAGGGACAGGACCAATGCTGGGGGACTGCCCCAGGTTGGGGGCACAGGAGCAATTGCAGGGGTGCCCTGAAAAGAGACTGGAAGAGAGAGAGAGGCAGCCGTTCCTGTGCTAACCGGTCCAGCTCTGCTCTGCCTCACTGCTCACCTGGGCCAAGTCTCTTCCCTCTCTGAGCCTCAGTTTCCCTGTCTGCACACAAAAGGGGCTAGCTGGATCCAATGCCCACTGGCTCTTCCACCCAGGGTGCCAGAGCAGATCTCTGGGCATGGGGGCTGGGGAAGAGAGGGGTAGGCCTGGGTGAGGTGGGCAGAGGGGGCGCCTCCTGGGATGGGGTCACTGCCCAATCTGGACCCTCCACACTGGTGGGACACCTCGACCCTTTTGGGCAGGAAGAACCCGTGAGTGGGAGAGCCGGGGGCTGAGCTAGGCAAGAGGTGCTGAGGGTGTGGCCAGTGGGGTGAGGGCCACATCCCAGGGTGATCTAGTGAGGAAGAGATGGGGGTGGGGGGTCCACCTGTCAGCTCCAACCTCGGGACAGGGGACACCTCCAAAAAGAGGTCCCCAACCCCCTCCCACTGAGACCAACACTCCTGAGTGCCAAGAGCCACCTACAGCACACGGCACACCGTAGGGGCCGGTGCCCCTTATCCCCAAGAAGACAGGGAAACTGAGGCCCAGAGAAAGGACTGCCACCCTCATAAGGGCTGAAGCCCCAGGTCCTGACCACAGCCTGGTGCCTGCAGCAGACCGTCCCGTAGCCATGGGGGTGGGGAGGGGACCTGGTCCCTGCTGACTGGCGAGACCGGCAAACAAGCGTGGGTGAGGTGTCCCTCCTGTGCTTGTCAGTCTAGCGGGGACTTTCCCAAGCTGTCCCGGCCTCCCTCTCGGCCCAAGCTGTCCAGCTGGGTGGAGCCGGAGTCACTCAGGGCCAGGGAAATGTCCCAGGCGTCGGCAGGCAGGGGCTGACCCCGAAGCAGGGCTCATGTCTGCAGGACAGCCGGGGTTGGGTGAGGCCCGCTCCTCAGGTGCCCTCGGTGACTGTGTGGTCGGGCATGTCCTCAGCCACGCCCTGTTGCCCCTGGTAGCTCAGCTCCCACTGCCACCTCAATGGTGTAGTGATGTTCAGACCTGGGGGCTGGGACCCCAGGGACTTGATGGGGCACCGATTTGGCCACTTAAAGGTTTCTGCGTCACCCCTCCATCCCCCCACCCCCATCTGCTGAAGACCATGGATGAGCCCAAGGAAGGGGAGGACACACTTTGCCCCTCAGGTCCCAGTGTTGTCAGCCTGGAGCACCCGACAAGGCAGGGCTAGGGGTTCGGCCCCTGTTTGCACATCTCCAGGGACAGGGGCTCCCTGCCCCACTGGCAGCTCTTTCTGGAGGGAGACTGCTCAGATTCCTAGAGAAGGCCCTTGTCTCTGAGCTGATGTCCGCCCCCTACTGTCACCCCCTACCACAGCCAACCCTGGGCCTCAGGGACCCACAGAGCAGGCTGTTCTCAGACCACCCAGCCTATCTGGCCCACCCCCAAGTCCCTTCTGGCTGGGTCCTGCCACCCGCCACCCACTCCATGGGTCAAAGCTCCAGCAGGCTGGCCACCCCTCGGGCTGGAGCCCCTCTAGGCTCCCACGCTGTGTCACACACATCTGGGGGTGTCCTGGGGGAGGGTCCTGGCTCCCATGGCCCCACGGCACTGTGAAGGCCTGAGATCCACAGTCTTGGGTCCACAGCCCCAGGGTCTCCAGATGGCTGCAGCTCAGTCCCGGCCTAGTCACTGGCTGCTGAAGGGCTAGACTCAAGTCCCAGGGGACAGCTCCCCCTCCCCCAGCAGCTCGGCCAGGCCCCCCCACTTGGTGGGCCCCCCCACCCCTCAGCCTCCTGTTTGTTCACTGACGGATCCCCGTTATCAGCAGGGGACACACACAGGAAGTCCGGCCGGGAAGCGCCCATCCCAGTCCCGATTTACACGGGATGGAGCATAAAAAGCCACCCTTCCTTGCCCGGGAGGAGCCTCCCTGTCCTGAGCTGGCTGCTCCACACGGCAGCTGAGATGGAGGCTCCAGCGGACAGGCCCAGCAGGCAGACCCAGGGAGGTGCCTCGGAGTGGCCGGTGGGCCCGAGGCTCCAGCAAGGGGCAAGGTCCATCCCTGGCCCAATGGGGCAGCATTGGTGGCCACGGCCCAGCCCGAGTCCGGGCAGCATCAGGTATGGCAGGGGTGGCTGTGGTGGGGCAGGGCATGTGGGCTCCCCGCGACTCTGCACCTGTGACTCCAGCCTGTGCCAGCTCTGGGCTTCGCTCCCGGCACGGCCTCATTGGACCTTCCTATTGGGGCCATTCCCACTGCACAGAAGAAGCCACCAAGGCCTCTTGGTCAAGCACCTGCTGATGGGTGGCCTGGTCTGGAATCCAATCTCATCTGCCCAACTCCAACACTTACCCCCTGGCTGCCCAGCAGCTGTGGTGACCCAGAAAGGAGAAGCCAGACACAGCCAGGCCCCCCTTTGAGCCCCACCTTTGGCCCCATTCTGTCTCCCCAGAGAAGCCCCTGTGGTTGGCAGCGGAGCTCAGCTTGCTGGGCCCACTGGGAGGGGCTCGTGCCCCTCATTCCTCCTCTGCCAAGACCGGGGTGTCCCAAGGGCCGGAGTCTTCTCCTCAGCATCCCCCAGCGGTGGACGAGCACTCCCAAGGGGATCCAGGGAGAGGGGCTGTCTGGGGAGATCAGCACCAGGGGGAAGACCCCCGGAACTAAATCTCTAGCCAGGATGAGCTGGGTCCATTGGAGGCACTGAATGTGGGGCCAGGAGCAGTCCCCACCTCCTGCTGGGCTGACTTTGGGGAGACTCAAGCTCAGGGACAATTTGCTGGGGTGTGGTGTGGGCAAACGGGTGATTTTGTCAGCCCACCTTGTACCCTGGGGAAGCCTCCTGTTCTCCCTCTCCCCAGTCCCAAAGCCCCCAGAACCATCACCTGTCATCTTACATGTCCACTCAGAAAGCTTGTCTGGGAAGAACGCCCCTTCTTCAGATAAGAAAGCAGACATGAGCCTCCACCCAGGTGGGACACAGGCAGGACAAGCTGTCCCTTTCTGCTCCAACTCAGGCACAGGAGGAGGCGGGCAGCCAAAGGGTCAAGGGGCTGGAGCTTCAGGGATGAGGATGGGGCAGGGGACAGGGCAGGGCAGCTGTCCCACCCAGAGTCCCCCTAGGCCCTACTCTTAACTCTGCTGCCTGGGGCTGGGTGAGAGCTGCCCTGCTTAGATGCAGGGACCCCCCCTGCAGTTATAATTACAGGCATCCCCATGACAGTTGCCCCAGACACTGAGACCCACCTGCCAGGGGCTTCCAAGGCCCCTGGTCCAGGGCAGTAGCCGCTAAAGGGCAGGAAGAGAGGCCTCTCACGCCACTCACAGCAGCGCGTCCAGCTCTGTCTCCGGGGAGTCCAGGGCAGGAGGCAACAGCCCCATTTTAGCGATGGGGAGCTGAACCTGCCCCCTCCTGCTGAGGGCAAAAGCCACCGCTGGTGACTCTTCCATGGGCAGATCTGAGAGGCTCATTTGGCTTGGGACATGATGGGGTGGGGGACAGGTGCAGGATATGGGTCTCTAGGCCTAGTGCAGCCGGAGGTCCCACAGTACATCAAAGGCTAGATCCCAGGCCCCTTCCCAGACCCTGGACTTCAGGGCGGCCAAGACTCTGCCACAGCACTAATCCCCACCCGTCTCTGACATGTAGCCCCTGGCACCAGGGAGGCCCTGGTGGCCCTCACCTCCCAGAAGAGCAGCTGCCGCCAGTGTCCAGGGGATGACGAATCCCTCCTCTCCAGGTGAGTCCCTAGCCACCCCGTGCACTGTAAGAGCTGTAATAATCATGGTATGTAATGATATGATAGTAATAGTTCCCATGTAGTAAATTCGTAAATGGAGGCACCGAGAGGAGAGATGCCCAGTCCAGGAGCCTCTGGTGAGAGGCTGGGGGTGAGGGAACTCCCTGGGGGCCTCTCAATTAATTCATGGGGAGGAGCTCTCAGCGATGGCCTCTACTGTCCGGAACAGAGAGGCGACTGTGGAGAGGGGTGGGTGCCCCAGGAGGCCGGGGGGTGGGGGGAGCTTGGCAGGTCCCCCCAAGCTGACATTAGGCGGGGGCTTGGTGTCACACCTGGTCCCATCCGGTTCTGCTGCGTGATCTCGGGCGAGTACTGGGTCTCTGGGCACCGGGGGGTCACGATGCCCGTCCCGAGCGTGGCTGCAGGGCCGCCGCCAGCTTTAGCCAGAGCCTGGTCCCAGGGGTCGGTCCTCGGCCTGGGGGCTGAAAGCTAGCGAAGGGACCCCCGCTTCCGGTCAGTGTGGGCGCCCCACACGGCCCCCTGGTCCTGCGTCCCCAGCGGCCACGCTCCCGGCTGCGGACACTCGGGGAAGGCCCGAGGACTCAGGGAGGGGGCTGGGGGCGCCGCGGCGGCGCTCAGAGGCCGGTTTGCGTCAAAAGCCCCGGGTTCCAGCTGACTCACTGCCCGGCCGCGGGGCCTCAGTTTCCCCACCTGCGCAACGCGGCGGGGCGGGACGGCTCGGGCCTCTCGGCGGGTAGGGGGCGACGCGCCCACCCGGGGCGGGGCGGGGCTCCGGCGCGGTCGCCAG